ATAGAATAGAATAGAATAGAATAGAATAGAATAGAATAGAATAGAATAGAATAGAATACTTTATTGGACACACAAGGAATTTGTCTTGGTGTAAATACTCTCAGTATACATAAAAGAAAAGATACATTCATTAAGAATCAAGAATCATAATATACAACACTTAATGATAGTCATAGGGTACAATCAGCAATCAAATCAAACAGTCAATATAAATCATAAGGATACAAGCGACAAAGTTACAATCCTACAATCACAAGTGGGAATGGATGGGTGATAAGGAGTGATGAGATTAACAGTAATAGTAATGCAGACTTTGTAATAGTTGAACAAGTTGGCTATTATTATAAAATTTAAAAATTGGATTGGATAATGATCTTCTGCATGTTGATCAAAGTGGAATGGGGGTAAAGTTGCATATTTTTTTGAACATGTTATGATGGTTTAAACTTTAGAAGTTTTCAAGCCATTTTTATATTTACTTCTGTTTATCTTTGTTGTACATCTTGAAATGCTTTAGAGCTTACCTAGTGGAGGATAGAAAAATTGAATCCCTTTCTAACCTGGATGTAAATGTAATGGTCTTTTTCCCTTGGATGCAGATGATGAAGCAGTCAGCAGCTCCTATGAATCCTACGATGAGGAAGAGAGCACTAAAGGCAAGTCAGCCCCTCATCAGTGGCCATCACCTGAAGCATCTATTGAACTTATGAAAGATGCCCGGATCTGTGCTTTTCTCTGGAGAAAGAAATGGTTGGGCCAGTGGGCCAAACAGCTTTGCATGATTAAAGAGAACAGACTGTTGGTAAGTATTTGGTGAGCCAGAAAGTATGTTTAAAATATAAATTCATCTTGAAGTTTTTCTGGTAAAACTTTAAACACAAAGGATTCAGAAAAGAGAAGTGGCAAATAAAATCCAAAGGGTTTACCTCATGTATGAACTTGCTTCCTTGAGATAAGCAAACAAATACTTTTGGGAAGCCTATAAGTAGGAGGTGAAGGCAACTTTACTTTTAGGATACATAATTTTCAGATATCTTAGACTGAACATTTTTACTAACCCTCTTGACAGTCATTTAGTAGGCTAAGGAACACCATTGCCCTGAGACCAACAGCCTTCTCTCTTTTAACCTTCAGGAGAGCAATTAAGATCTGGCTCTTCCCCCAAGGGTTGCAACAGGGTGAGTTCAGAGTGGGATGAGACTATTGTGAGTGCCATCTGGGAAGTGCAGTAGTTGGGCCAAGTGTTCCTTATTTTCTTTTAGTTTTATCATTTTTTGTTTTATGATTATTTTTTGTGTGATTGGTTCTAAGCCACCCAAGAGCTGGTTTCAAGATGGGCAGCCAAACAAATGTTTTAAATAATTTTAAAGAAAATAATAAATAATCTTACTGTATTATTTTTGTTCCCAGTGCTACAAGACTTCCAAGGATCATAGTCCTCAGCTGGATGTTAATTTGGTGAGCTGCAGTGTCATTCACAAGGAAAAGAATCTGAGAAAGCAGGAGCATAAATTGAAGATCATCCCCATGAATGCAGATGTGATCGTCTTGGGTTTGCAAAGTAAAGACCAAGCAGAACAATGGCTCAGAGTGAGTGGAGCCTTTTTTTTTTTTTTTTTTTGGGGGGGGGGGGGTTGGCAATGTCTGTTACTCCAGGTGTGGGGATTTGTTGAAGCCACAATTGCAAATGCCAATACTGAACTTGGCAGTCAGTATTCTTGTGCTTTACCAGTCATGTGATTTAAGGCTCCTCCTTAAACATGCATACAATGCCTTTAGGAAAAGAAAGCGCATATTTATAAAATATACTTGATGAGTTCACTGGAGCCCAAGGGAAAATGTAGGAATTGGAAGAGTAAAAGCTCCTTGTTAAATTAATATATTTTTAGAGAATTTTCAATAACAATTTACACTTTATATAGGTAATCCTCAAGTTATGACCACTCACTCAGCAACCATTTAAAGTAATGACGGCACCAAATGAATGGTGCTTACAACTGGTACTCTCAGTTACAGGTTTACTTACACATTACTGTGCTTCTAAGCTTTTCAAGGGATAAATGTTCAATGTTATGTGGCCATGCCCTTGCTATTTGATATTTCTGTACTTATTATTTTGATTTTTCTGCATCTGGATCATCTTGATTTTCCATACTGCTGACCTCTGAACTGAGGTTAGCTGTGAAAACAGAAGGAAATTCTTAATAATTTATAGTCAAGTAAAAATGTCCAAGTACAAAGCAAGTACATGCTGTTTGGTAAATCTTTTAAAAGCACAAGAACACTGCTTGGCAAAGGGCCAAGCCTCTGTTTCTAAATTAAACTAACCACAGCAAAAAATATATGTATGCACTCATATTGGTATATGAGTGTATACATATATTGGTTCCTTTGTCAGCCCAAACTGGGATAACCTTCTATGCCTCTCATGACTGGTTTTAATCTACAGTGGTCAGTATAGCACAGAAACTAAAATCATTTTCTTTTTCTAATAGGTGAAAGAGGAACTGTTTTTTTAAAAATGTTGTTGGCTCACATAGTGTTTTACATCTTGATATCTCTACTGACAGGCCCAGAGACTGTTGCATAAGAAATAATCCCCAATTAGCGTAGAACAATGGAGGGGATTGCCCAGCACATCCTCTGATTTGGTGTGCTGTTTATACATGTGTCCTAGGCTTCACTCTCAAGCAGAACTTTCTGGAACAGCTCGACTTCCGTATCTCTAACTTCAAAATTGCATTGCTTAAATTGAATTTTGCTTCAGTTAAAATTAGCTGAAGTCTTCTAGGTGCAGAAGAAAATAAAATATGTAGCTGGTCATAAGGCAAGGAATTGCTTACATCGTGCTTTCCCCCCTCCTAGGTAATCCAAGAAATAAGCGGTCTCTATCCTGAGGGGCCCTGTGAAGGAAATCAGTACGTTCCAGACTTCCAGCGGTTCAATAATCCAAAAGTATGTCTTACCTTTTGAAAGGGATGCTTAAAAATTAGCTCTTAAACCTTCTGTTGCATAATATTTTAAAACTACTTGATTATATAAGGGAAGTAATTCCCACCCATCAAAACAGGAAACTCTAGCCTTTTTCGGATGCTGCAGTGAGAACAGCTTCAAGCATCTTTCCATCCCTTCACAACAACACTTCTTTGTATCTATTCATCTTCGTAATAAGTTTGTTTCAAATTGCTTTTAAAGAGAGCTTAAAGATTTAGTTCTGTCCAAATGAAAACATTATATAAAAAAGCATTCTTTTTTGGGGGGGGGGGAATATATATATATTGTGTATACACACACACACACACACACACATTTTTGAACCCCACAGACATTCCTACAGAAGCTTAAGGAAAGCATCTGGGATGGGAAACATGGAACAAATTTAGTCAAACATAACCTAGACGAAAAGGCTATTCTGATGGTAGTAAAGACTTCTTTCCTACTGGTGAGTCAGCCCAGAATTGCCTTATGGAGTTGTTGATGTTGTTTCAGTTGGAGCTACTATGTGCTGAGCTGCAGAAGAGAAGGGAGTGTTCCCAATAACCTGCTGTGATACATTTGCAAAATAGTTTGCTGATTAAATGGCTTATCTCTATTCCTACTTGGATTTGTTCTATGAAAGTGATTGATAGTGTTCAGTTTCCATGGATGAGATTAAACTGATTCATTTATGGGCCCAATAATTTTTTTAAGGGTGGGAATGGAATCTCAATGACTCTGGGAGGCAAATCATTAACTCTACAATCCTAGATAGTGCCAGTCATCAGAAGAGGCTGAAATAGTACCATTAGGTTGTTCCTTTACAGCACGAGTGTCAAACATGACATTTTTCCGATTTGCAGAACTGGAGTGGGTTTGGCCAATGCATGACGCATCTAGCCCATGGGCCACCAGTTTGACACCCCTGCTCTACATTATGCCACTTAATTCAGCTCTGAAGGATTCTATATGCTTTTAAATATCCACAGAAGCTGCTAGCTCATGTGGAATTTTAGGAAGTGGTCTGATTATTATTTGGGTGATATCTAACTCGCTTTTTTTGGTCAATTGATGCCAAGGAGTTTTTAAAGTTAACTTTCTACATGGCTTGGTGACCATGAAAATACCTTTTCCTCTTTGTTTAATATGATTAATTCTTCAAAATTCAGAATAAGCTTACATTCAGAATTCTATAATCTGTATGTATCCCGGAAGGAGCTGTATTTTCCTGGATGTAGTGAACATATCTTTTCCCAATATATTTCTTGCCAAATCATTAAAAAAAAGTATGTTAAATTAAACTGAGAGTAAAAGGACATTTCATAGAATGTACTGTTATATTTGTTTATATTTTATCAATATTATAATTAAATGAACATGTTTTAAGCCAATCAGCCAATCATTGGGCAATGACTGTTATGAAAGAGGAAGCTTGGTGGAAAAAATCAAGTTTTTCCATTCGTGTGCTTAGTATTCCAATCAAGTCATGTTGCTGTTTGCCTGAAGTCAAATAAAAAAGAAACAGCTGTTTATTTAGTGAGGATTTATAAATCTGATAACATTCCAAGTCCAATAGATACATCAATATTTGTGCTTTTTCACTGTACTATCCCTCATTTTCTCACATTGCTCCAAGCACAAAATATAACTTTTCAACAGGTAGAAGAGTTCTTCAACCCAATACTTTATAATGTTCTCAATTTTGGTCATGGAAATTGCTTTTTGTTCTTTGCAGGTGGAGCCATCAGAGAGTGGAAGTAACACTGAGGGTCACGCAGAGCCGGTGGAAACAAAAGATGGTAACATGACTTTGAATTCAGAAAGTTTCTCCAATCTAGTACCTTTTATAGATGTTGGGAACTGTAATCCCATGACAACTGCAGGGCTCTGGGCAGGAAGCATTTGAATTAGAAGGAGGAAGAGAGAAATTAAAGTAGCTGTCTCTGCTGCATATTGAATTTGCAGAGTGCCTGGTTGAAATAGAACTGGACAGAAGAGCTTCTCTGCCAAGTTAAATTGTTATCCACACTAATTGAACTATGTAGTTTCTACCAGGGATAATGAAATAGAGTATCTTGTAGAACATAGAAAACATCCATAGACCTGTTTGTCAGTCCAATCTACTACTGTCTGCTTTGACTAGCATTGGTTGGCAAGGTTTTGAGCAAAAAGAGATCCTTTTCATCTCCTATCTGAATTTTTAATTAAGAATCAACTGTGGGACTTTCTGTGGAAAAAAATGATTATGTTCTCCTGCTAAGCTCTGATCCCTTCCCAAAGGATGGAATTTGAAAAAAGAAGGCATTATATCGTGGTTTCCTTCTCTCAGTACAGAGAGAAAATGTTGCCACTCAGAACAATATCATAAAGAATTTACCTGAATTTACCTGAAACTAAATTTCATTGAACTTGTTGGAATTGGAAAGGAAGCATGTTTTAAATTTGATTATTAGCTGGGTAATTTTTTCTGAACTGAAAGCATTGGAAATAATACCAATAGGCCAGAAACTTGTAGCAGTTTTGTTAAATTGTTGGTCAACTGCAGTAAACCTAACCAGCGAGTTTACATGTCAAGAATATATATTGAAGTTGTGTGTTTTCTTACATGAAACATTGTGTGTATTTATCAGAAGAATTAAAGTTTCATCAAAATGGCAATAAAGGATTTTGTGTAAATAGAAACAGAAAAGGACAACCACATTAAGACTCGGTAAACACCCTCTATTTGCAACAGACCTCATCTGAATTTTCAGTCATCCCTTGCAGATTATTGTAAAAACCTGATGAGTTTTGCAAATACGTGAAAAAGAATGCTTACAAATGCTTTCCCCAGTTCTGCAGAAAAGAGAATGGTTCAGATGAAAAGAACACAACTTTTAATCACAAGTGTCTTTCTCACCTCCCTCCAACCATAACTATGCTTTACCATTTTTTCACCCTGCCATGTACTCATTAAGTGGCTTTTGTCTCATCCCAGCCCATATCTGAGGCATTCGAAAATGGTCTTCTCTTCCAACGCAGTTTTTGCTGTGGACATGATCTGGCACACTTTACTGATCATTTAGCTGATGATGTGGTTTGGAGCTAGGATCTTCTCAGTTTGCTGCTTTAGGCTCCAGCATGCATATCCCTTATTCTAGTTATTGTGAGTTGATCTCCACAGCCATTTTGGAATGGGTGGCAGAGGCCTGTCTTGTGCAGAGTCATGTTCCCTTGGAAAATTTGATTGGAGTTTCTGAAGAGCTGATCCTAAAAAACGGTCCTAGCATGCTTCTAAACCTGATTTTTAAACAAGATTACAATAATTTTGAAAGAATAAACAGGCTGTCCTGGGAGGCAGACAATTAGTGTATCCTGCCAGTAGGTGCTCTGAAGGTCTTCCACTGCTACAGTAGATAAAGATTTTATCTAGCTGGTTTTTTTTTTACTGATTATTATCATCATTATTTTTGAGGAACAATAGAACTTCCTCCTGACTAGTGAATGCTTCCAGGACCAGACTTATATAATGGCAGTTCCTTCATCTGTAACTCCACAATTACTTACATTGCCTTTAGGAAGGGCAATGTCATTGTTTACTTCATTCTGACTCCAGTGATACTAAATACTATGGTAACTGTTTAGTGACACTAAATATCATGGGTAAACAAAATGACAAAATTCAAGAAGTCTACTCTGGTACATAGGTTCAGCTACTTCCTGGTATTGCTAATTCTGAGGTTAGAACTGGTCTTCTGGTCATTCACTGCAAGTACTGCCTTTCTCTTGCAGCACTAGTTATGGGATCAGGTACTACCACTTCATCCCATATGTACCTCTGTGCTTTTTATCTATCATTTGCTGGTTTTATTTTTTTGTTTAAATAAGAATTAATAACCTGCTGAACAACTCTAAAATAATGCTCCTCCTCTGTGCTCTTATCTTTCAATTTTTCAATCTTTCAGAACCCAGGTATAGCCACACACAGAAATAGCTTGAGAATAATAGCTTGAGAATAGCTAACAGGCAGAAAAGATTGTGGGCAGCAAACTTTTTCTGGAAGGAGCCCCTGTCACTAGTTGCTAATCTTACTGTTCTAAACTTGTCCCATCCTGTCCTAAGGGGATCAGGACAGGTAAGAGAGGATTAAATAACATATAACAGATAATCAGAGTTGGAAGGGACCTCTAGGTAATCTAGTCCAACCCCCCGCCCAAGCGGGAGACCCTAAACCATTTCTGACAAATGGCAGTCCAATCTCTTCTTAAAAGTCTCGAGTGCTGGTGCTCCCACAACTTCCGAGGGCAAGCTGTTCCATTGGTTGATTGTTCTCACTGTCAGAAAACAATCTCCCTTTTTCCAGGTTAAATCTCTCCTTGTTCAGTTTTTATCCATTATTCCATGTCTGGCCTTTGGGTGCTTTAGAAAATAGCTTGACCCCTTCCTCTCTGTAGCAGCCCCTCAAATATTGGAAGACTGTTATCATGTCTTCCCTGGTCCTTCTCTTCACTAGAGTAGCCATGCCCAGTTCCTGTAACCATTCTTCATGTGTTTTAGTCTCCAGCCCCCTAACCATCCTGGATGCTCTTCTCTGTACTTTTTCTAGAGTCTCAACACCTTTATACTGTGATGACCAAAAGTGGATGCAGTATTCTAGGTGTGGTCTTACCAGGGCTTTATAGAGTGGTATTAGTATGCCCACCCAGGCTCCGCAAGGGCAAAAACAACCCCAATACATCCTGATGCAGCCCATGATGTGATTGGGTTTGACACCCCTGTTGTAGCAGAATAAATATCAGCAATAGAGGCAGCACAGTTTATACTAGAATAGTTTTCTGCCAGCTGAAGGGATGTTGGATGATGCTTTTATACAACTTGAGGGAGAGTCTAGGCAGACATGAATCAGGTAGATCTGTTTAGCCCCATCAAAATCAAATTTTATAGAAATAGTGGTTCAGAAATTACTTAAAAGATACAACCCCAGCAGAAAATTACAAGCATGTGTCAACAATCATATCAGCATATTTTAATAGGTTACAAAGGACAATCTACACATTTGGTGTACAGTGCTGTTGCTTATGTTCTATCCAACCTACCTTACAAGGATTCCAGTGACAGCAGGAAAGGAATGGTATGAAAAACAAGCTTTGTTTTGTTCCAGGCTGATTTAAAATAGGAGGCATTTTTTTCCAACAACACAAGTATACTTTTCATATCTCCCTTTTTGAATACTTGCATCTACAAGTACATATTTCATAATTATCAAGATAATATCATTCAATTGAGAACAGCTAAATATCTTCAGGCACATAAATAGTTTATAATTTCTGTAACCCTTTGCATCCCTTCAAGTATCTCCAAGAAGGAATCGGTGTCTGGTTCATTATGGCCTCTGTGAAAAACAAGCTTCACATTCAGAAAATAACAGAAATCATGGCTTGTTTTTAAAAATATTGGATTATCTAAAACTTGGTTATTCAAGTATTTTTCATACTGTTGTGAAGATGGGTCACATATTAAATTGCATCTGCTTTATAATGATCATTTTCTTCAGCAATAGAATTTAATCTGTGGCTTTTTTATTCTTTAGCAAAGAAGAAATGCACACCTGGGTTAAAATTTAGCAACTTGATGAATCTTGGGAGAAAGAAGTCTACCTCCCTGGACAGCCCAGAAAGATCTTTGGATACCTGCAGTAAGTAACTTTTATGAACTGCACATACTTCTCTGTATTTATTTGAATTGCTGCCAGCTGCAGGGAAGACAACCCTGGAAAATGATGCAAATGAGAATTATAGTATAGCCATTGTGATTGACAAATAATAGACAGCATGCCACCAATGCTCTTTTAGGTCTTGTAGAAAATCTATAGAGGATAAAGTAATACCTTTGGGACAATTCTGACAGTCGCTCTAAAATTCTTCTTGTTGTTTTTGCAATGTAATCCAATTTTGACCATTGAGCCATAACTTTTTTATATAGCATAGGTTGTATTTGGTTGGTGGTTGAAAGGTGGATGGTGATGGCTATGTTTTTATTAATTAATTAGTGACAATAAGTGCTTTTTAATATCAGAATTTGGATTTTAGTTTATATAGTGGCATGACTAACATGTTCATTGTATTATAGGATTAAAAGCAATATTAGAGGTCTCTTAGTTTAGCAGCGTGCCCAGGGCAATAAAATTATGTATGTGAGCATGTTCTTCTTCACTGAAAACAGATAATCTCTAGAGAGGATTGAAATAATATTCTGGGCTCCATTAAGAAAAGAAATATTATGAAAACAACATTTATTTCTTCACAGCATATTTAAATGTACTGGTGAACAGCCAATGGAAATCTTACTGGTGCCACGTGAAGGATGGCCAGCTCTACTTCTACCAGGATAAAAACAGAAGCAAAGCAGCTCAACCAGCTTTGAACTTAGTGGGCTGTGAATTCATCCCAGATCCAAGCCCCGACCACGTCTACTCATTTCGTATCCTGCACAAGGGTGAAGAATTGGCCATGTTAGAGGTATGGATGTCATTCTCTCCAGAAGCTGGTAAACACAGTTTAGTAGCCATTCATGGGAATTTATCACAAGGCTGTGTTGGAACCAATTTAAAGCTTCCTTTCTTTGCATAGAGACAATTTAAATAACTTACGTTACCTATCCAAAGCTTATTTCATTGAGTAGCATACAAACATAATACAGAAAGCATGAGAGGGAGCAAAATGAACTTTTAATTTGTTTTCCTTACATTTCAACCAAATTAATCCAGAAGGTAATTTACTGTGAGAAAATAGCACCTGTAATTTAGTTGAAGTACTATAATTAAAATAGCAACTATAGTGTAATTTTAAATTTTAACACTAGTAATAAGTATTTGAAATATTTGAGTTCCCAGAAAGAGATGACGGGCACAGCAGTATAGAACCATTTTTCCCTTTAAGGACTATTCCTTTGGAGAAAATCTTTGGGTTGTGACGCTGGTATAACAACAGGGTCAAAACTTACAGTAAGCAGCATTCTTTGTGTCCCTTTTTTCCTATTCTCCCTTTACTTTCTTGTTTTCTGGGTTCACTGGCTTCCCGGATGACCCTACTTTTAAAGTCTATAGAAATCTTAAGCTTTTTTCATTGATTGGCCATTTATGTTTCCTCTCTATATTTGACAATGCCTAAAATAACACTACTTCTTAGATCTGTGAGGAAAAAAAAATCCGTTGAGTACTATATCAGCAGTTTGATAGTTCAATAAGTCAACTGTGCATTCAAAAATAAATAAATAGGAATCTGCTTTAAATGATTCCTTGCCCAGAACCTTTTGTTCTACCTCCCACTATTCACTTTTTAGTTTAATTTTTTTAAAAGTTCAGGCTGAGGGCCCAACTTCTTTTCTCCATGTTGACTGTTTCCATGCTAGCTCCACTTCCAAATGGCATATTCTTTCTCTTACTCATGCCTACAGACATACATGGGAAGCAAAGTACTTAAATTTATAACATAGGAATGATATTGTGAGGTCAAGAATGCTGGAGGGAAGGGTAAAAAAAGGAACAAGAAAGTAAAACAACTGTGGGAGTATCTAAAATTGGGCCAAGGTTCGCAGGCTGTGCACAGATTGCAGATATATAATTATAGTTAGTTGGTGCAGCTTTACCTTATGCACATAGTTTATTTTAAAACAATTTGTGACATTGAATACTGTCAGCAATATTCATTCTCCCCTTTCTAGAGTTCTGTTCCAAGTATTATAGAATCTACATTATATATAGGGATGTACAGTATAAATTCAGATTTCATCTTCTAATTCTAATCTTTTTTAACTTCCTTTTTTTTTTGAATGCACAAGTAATAAATGCAATCTTAATCTCCATAATCTCCCTTGAGTTATATTTAATTTCTCCTGGAGGAAAAGTTGATTTGAAAAACAAGTTGCTTACCTCTTTTACTTTCACTCAGAGTTGTTTTTTTCCTTTGTTTATTGCTAATCTTAGATTCTCTGACATCAGCAACATTTGAGTAGGAGGAGGAAAATGTGACAAATTTCCTACATTTTGTAGTGGGAGGAATGTTTTCAGCTAAGGGTAGGATTGACAGAGAGACTGAATATTGTTTTGTTTTTAGCAGTAAAATTGCTGACTTTGATGGAGCCAGAATAAGGACAACTTCAACAGTTATTTCAAACTAGTTTCATTCACAAAATTAAGGTATCATATGGATTCAGCAGTTTAGTTCAAGGCAATTAGAAATTATAAAATCGTTTCTCATAGATTTTTCATGGTGCTTGTTGAATATTTTTCCATAGGATCCATAGACTCACATAAACCTTGTTACTTATGGGAGGCATATAATATCAGAATACACATACAAAAAGCTGACATCTGTATCATGTTGTACATTACCATTTTTTTTTCTCGATTGTAGAGGATGTCTGTGACACTTTCCTTCATGTTTCACCACCAAATTTCAATATTTATTTTAGGACCTTTCTGGTGCAGAAATGTTTAGAAAATCAAACTGGCGCCACCTTCTGGAGAAAAAGAGAAAGATCTTTATATGAAGTGTTTTTTCAAAATTCTGGCATATTGCCTCCCCACCTCACCCCACCCCCGGGCAGCTAAATTCTTATTTATTATTCAGGACAAATACTACCTTGAATATAGAGTTTCACAAATATTTAAATAATGAAACGTTTATATGGGTCTGTGAATCATTGAATTTCAAGCACATATAATTTCCTTTCCGTGGGATTTTGGCAGAACATAACTTCCTAACTTTCTTCTCCTATCCTAACTCTTTTCTACCTTAATTAAGAACTCTTTCAACAATGAGCAAATTTGTGTACTCACTCTATTCAGCGAAATAGTTCAACTCTTCATAAAATATTTTGGGGGCATTGCTGAGTAGATAAAGGTTCAAAGTTTGTCTTTTCTTCTGCTTACTTTAGACCCTAATCATTGGATTAGAAGAGTCCACTGATTAGAGATATATTAAACCACTGATTAGAAAAAAATTGAACCATAGCTATAATTGATGGTTCTATTTTCATTTATTTAATAGACAAAGTCTTCTGAAGAAATGGGCCACTGGCTTGGTGTCCTTTTGTCAGAATCTGGCTCTAAAACTGATCCTGAGGAGCTTACTTATGATTACGTTGATGCTGACAGAATATCCTGCATTGTCTCTGCAGCAAAGAACTCATTGTTGTAAGTTACTATGTTAGCATGTTTGCCGTTCAGAATCTGTTTTCTTTTGGTGGTTTCCTAGTATATCTATTGACTCTGCTAAATAAGAGTTTGGGTGGTGGTTGTTTTTTGACTGGGAAATAATCAATGCAAATTTCCGTAAGATTTTTTACTACTTGTAGAAAGAAACAGTTGGAATAGAATAAACACTACTATGTAAATATATCCCATATATGACACATTCAAATGAAATTGCTATACTAAAAAAAAAAGAAATTAAAAAATATGAATGATTACTTTCCATGCTATATCCCAAAGAGGCAACCTTTGAATGAAGATTCCACCCCTAAAAAGAGAGATTGGACAGGGGGCAAATCCTATTTTCCCATTGTTTTAAGGAAAATATTTGGGGCAAACAAATGTGTGAAAATACAAATTGTATTTATCTGAAATGCAACACTTATGTTTATCTCATTTATTTACTTGATTTCTATAGCCACCCATTTCTCTAACTTTCCAACCTGAAGCTTACCACATATTTTGAGACTGAAACATTTGGAATCAAAATTAAAATTCTTGGGAAACTGTAGTGGGCTCCTTGTTGCATGATTACACAGGTGTGTGAAATACTTGGCCACTTGTCAGTGTTTTGGTCTTTGTTGTACATTGCTTCTTTGGACTTTTATATGGCAACTTCTTAATTGAACTGCAATGACTTGGATGTCTGGTAGAAGATGGAAGTCAGGAGAAGTGGCCACATCCAAAGATAGATGGTAACTGTCAGTATTTAAGAGCTGCCACTGCTGATGGTTTGAAACCCTATGATAGTGGTTTGCTTTCATGTTTTTCAGCTTAATGCAAAGAAAACACTCTGAACCCAACCCTTACATTGACAACCTGCCAAAGAGAATGGGGAACCAAGAAGAACTGTATGATGATGTGGACATTCCAGAGGCTACCATGGTGAGATATTTTGCAGAACTGACTAGTTTGTTTATCATTCTAAAGCAGCAATCATTGAAATTTGAGGAGGGAGGATTGCAAAGTGATTTTTTTGTCAGTAATATTTAAAGAAAATCATGCTGGATTGCTAGTATAAATTCATAAATGAATGTAAATCCACATTACTAAACAAGGTGTAATTCATACTGTATTACTGAATTCATACTGTCAAATAGACATTTCTTATTCTAAGCAGAAAATGCTTCCTTAAGTGAAATTATTATTCAGAAAATGCCATCTTTTACAGGATGCTGTGCCTCCAAATGGAAGTAAATGTGAAGGGGAACAAGACAGAGTCTATCTAGACCTCACTCCAATGAAATCCTTGCTGCAGGGAGCTGGCTCAAAGCAGGGTCAATTTACTCCTTCAGCATCTCCACCTTTACAAAGATCTATGAGCAAGAGCTCAGTGGACTTTGAAAAAGACTTGTCCATGGTGCAAAAAGAACCAGAACTAAACAGAAGTGCAATGGAAATTCCAGAGCAGGTGATATAGAGCAATGAAGTTTTATATATTCTTACAATACCCTTCTCCAGACTGACACATTCTATATATATTGGGTCTGCAGTTCCCAATATTATTAGATAGTATGGCCATCTGGAATGATAGAAATTGAAATATAAAGATGGCAGTTAATGGAAAAAGCATCTACTTAAGGCTTTGGATAGCCATTGTCAGCGATACAGCAACTAATCTCATGTGAAGGGGACAAATAATATTCTACCCTTTCCTAATGATTCTGAAATAGAAATAGAAATAGAAATAGGAATGGAATGGAATGGAATGGAATAGAACAGAACAGAACAGAACAGAACAGAACAGAATAGCAGAGTTGGAAGGGACCTTGGAGGTCTTCTAGTCCAACTTCCTGCTTAGGCAGGAAACCCTACACTACTTCAGACAAATGGTTATCCAACATCTTTTTAAAAACTTTTAGTGTTGGAGCATTCACAACTTCTGGAGACAAGTTGTTCCACTGATTAATTGTTCTGTCTAATTGGACAGAACAGATGAAATGAAACACTCTGATGATCCTAAAGGGAAAAAGACAGATAGCAAAAACCAAACTACTGTCCTTTCCCTTAGTTTGAAATGAGATACTTACAGTAAAGGATGTTGTGCATATTACAAGGAGCTAGTATTGTTAGGAAGTGGGCTTGGAGCCTTTGTAGTAATGTGAAATTTTGAAGCACTGAGTCAGCTCCTGGTAAGGTCAGCCATTGTATTATCAGAAGGAAAGCTAGTACAACCTTCTGTATCTAAAGCTTAATCGGGTAGTCTCAGGTTATGATGGTAATTGCAACTGTAATTTCCGTTGCTAAGTCATAAAGCACATTGTCACTTGACTCAGCAATAGGAAACCCATCAGCCCCCTTCTGTCATTAACTGAATCCCACTGGTTGTTAGAGGAGAAGCCACCCTGATCTAAGACATTCTGCCTAACCCCAAGCCTGAGCAAGGTAAGAGACTGTCTCCTTTTGAGCACTTCTGAGACTTAAACCTCACAAGAAGACTGTACCTGCCGTTCTCCAAACCATGCATGGCCCTTCTCATGATGCTTCAGAAGGCTAATTCGACCTTTCTAAAGCATCATGAAAGGGGCGTACATTATTTGGAGGATGGGATGTGCAGTCTTGGGGAGAAGGCCTTGTGCAACCAGTAGCTGCCTTTCATAGGACCAAGCTGGCTGCTTCTCAAAAGCAGGAGGAAGAAGACAGCCACTGTCAATTAGGCAGCTGGGTTCTGTGTTGGGCTTGAAGCAGCACAAGCAGCACCAGAGCTGAAATAGAGGCTTGGAGGCAGTGACATCTAGATGTGACTGCTGAAGGCCCAAGGCCTTTACTTTAGTCTAAGTGCCATTGGTTCCACCATTGCCTCCCAGGAGTGCTGCCGTGCAGGGTGCAGAGATTGAAGGGAAATAGGCAGGTGGGGGAATTGGAGTGTCTCTGCAGTTGTAAATGCAGGTGGGCTGCTAAGTGCTTGAATTTTTAACATGTCTGTGTAGGTACAACTGCCATAACTTTAAAGAGTGGGTGTAAATAACATTCAATGCCACCGTAACTACAAACCAAGCGCTACCCATACCATTTACATCCTGTGTAACAATTCTGGTTGTCATTAACCCTTCTAGGTTCAACACTTTTTTTTTTCAAATCCAAGGCTTTCAAAGCATTTTTACAGACCCAGCAATGTACTTGTGCTGCATCTAATGGGACCTCCAAATGATTTTGTTCCTTGTTTAAAGATAGTCTTATTCCTAGAATTAGCTCATTTTAGCACATTTTCTGAACTGAACTAAGAGTTACACTTTGCTGCAGGTCACTCTCCAAAAAAATAGTGGATGCAGCTTAGACAAAACTGGACTTTTTTCTTTTACAGCTCCTTTAAATTAAACATAGTTCATATGACAAACTTTCTAGTCATGTATTTAAACATTTTCTTCTTTCATATTAAATATTTCAATTAATAAGCATTTTGGAGATCTCTGGGGCGAAAGCTTTTTGTAGACAATGGTTACCTTGGAAATTCAGATGATACCGCTCTGTTTTCAATGGTGGCCTGTGTCTATTTATTTATTTTAGTTCTTTTTAATCTTGTCTTTATTATTTTTGATAAATAACTCAAGGCGGCAAACTTAATACTTATTAATACTTAATACTTCTTTCCCCTCCCAGTTTCACTACAGTATAGGAGGGTGAGGTGGTTTGGGTTGAAAGAAAGTGACTGCCTCATCCAGCTGGCATTAATGTTTAGGGCAGGACTAGAAGTCTTCTGGTTTCTAGACTGATGTCTTAACCACTAGATCAAACTGGCTCTTCTCATCTTATTTCTTGAACAGAGACCTCCAGACACAGATGAGCTGCCACTTCCATGGACAGGTACAGTAAAAATCCAGACACAGCAGCAGCAAATTATATTTCCTCAGAGTGACCCCACTGTGGTTATGGCTGCACCAAAGGAAAAAACAGAAAAGCCCAAAGTGATGAATCCAGGTAGGTAGCAATAGTATCTCTTTCGTTCAAGTTTTTTATGATGCAATTGGATCATCTCTATTTATGGCCACTTTGTTAAATCAGAAACCTGATCTAGATCTGTAGGCTAACTGTTAGCAAGAATTTAGTCAACGGCAGGCTAATTTGGGACATCTTTTATTATTTCCCTGATACCTTCTTAATTTACTAGCTTTCTCCCTCCTGCCTGACAACAGGCTAGGACAGAGTCCTTCTACCTAATGGTTACAGAAAGGCTTTTGTAGTCAGCTCAATTTTTTTGGATCTGAGGCTGAGTGCTTCAAGTAGCTCAGTACATAGATGTAGATCTGCTGTTACTCTTTTTTCCCCAATTGTATTCAACCATTGTATTAGTATTTGTAGTTTCTGTCACTGGGAAAGATTCCTGCATTACGAGAACGTAACTAAATTCACAGTCCCTGTAGAAACAAAACTAGGCAAGAACAGGACGGAGGCTGAAGTGAAGCGATATTCAGAGGAGAGAGACCATTTGGAGAAAGACAAAGAAGAAATCCGCTCTCAGCTGGCAAAGCTTCGAAAAGAGAAAAGGGAGCTGAAAGAGATGCTGATGAACTGCTCAGGTAAAGTCCCATTGAGCATCTTAATTTCATTCCCTGGTGCTTGGTGTAGAAGAGGCAATTGTTTTAAGCATTAAGTGATTTGATTGTTTTATGAGACTGCTGGATGATGGCTGAGTTGTCAGCAAGTTCTTGCCCTGCTTGATGTTGGTACTTCAGAAGAACAGCTTCATATAATCTGGAAAATAACAGATACACTATTTTGGTTCATTTGATAAGTAGCTCTTCTTTTCTCTACTATCATCCCTAGCTTCTTGGAAGTATGTAATGGTCCAAAGAGTGCCCATGAAAAGAAAAGAAAGCATTTAGAATACTTTATATCTATTTTGGTTTTCTAGAATCTGTTCAAGTTTCTTAAAAACCATAAATGGTTTGGGATTTGGATGCCTTAAAGACCATCCCTGCCATATATTCTTACCAAATAAAAAGGTTTTGCCTAGTGTCTTATTGCCTCTACTGTTAATTGTATTATTTTTTTTCTGTCCTGTAACAAAAAAATTGAAGGGAAAGAAAGGATAAGACACCAGAGAAGAAATCCATGGAGCTAGACAGATGAGATAGAACAGAGAGCTAGAGCTAGAAATAGAGATAGAGAGATACAGTGACAGAGAGAGATGGATAGATGGATATAGATATGAGAGAAAGTGAGATAATTGATTGCATTTTCTATATCCCTATTCTTCCCTTGGCAGATAAAAATAAGTTGTCTACAATGGAACAGAAGCTAAAAGAGATAGAAGAAGAGTGTAAGAAGAAAGAAGATCAGCGTGTTGACTTGGAGCTAAAGCTTGTTGAAGCAAAAGAGAATCTCAGGAAAGCAGAGTCTGGTCCAGTTACACTTGGCACCACAGTGGATACCGCACACGTGGAAAACGCAAGTCCCAAAGTATGTAGCCTGTTACTTTGAGAAACAGAAGAATGCTTGTCCGCAACTTGTTCATATGTGTGTGGCAAGAGTTCTGTGATTGAATCTTTTCTCATACTTTAAAAAATAGTGTAAGCCTTCAATTCACAAGAAGAGCTTTTGCTTTGCTGATATTGTAAGACATACAATACTCATTAGTACTTTGTCAAAAATTGGAAAGAATTCTAGTTTCATTCTTGCTACATGAAAGCACAACACCAGAATCAATTGTTTCCATAAATTGCCAAAACCGAATGCAACATTAATTTATACACTCCACATATTCACAACCTGAAGATTCCATAAACTCTGATATGCAATTGATATAATTTAAATTAAAATAGTAAAGTAATCACTATTCTCTTTTTCCCTTAAATATAGATGAAAGTTGCTAATCCTACAAATAACACAGAAAATTCACCTGTCAATTCAGCAGTGGCATTAAAAAACCGTCCTTTATCTGTCATGGTCACAGGGAAAGGAACAGTTTTGCAGAAAGCAAAGGTAAGGCATCTAGGAAGCATGACCACTGGAATTATGTAGCAAAAAAACCCCAAACCCACCAAATTGGCATTCTGGGTTTGGTAGGTCATGCCACCTGGATGGGAGACCACCAGGAAATATCAGCTCTGTAGATTACAAAAACACTGTAGAAAGTAATCACAACTTAAGCTAATGAGCACTTTTTTCCTTCTTTTCTTTGCAGGAATGGGAAAAGAAAGGTGCTAGTTAGGAAATCCTAGCCGCAAGAAAAGACTGAAGACTCAAATTAGTTCTTTGTGGACTACAGAAGCCAGTAGCAAAAATGTCCAGATGAAGAAAGCATGGCAAGTGGGGAACTGTATTATACTGTCTGGAAGAAACAATGGACTTTGGCCAGATGCCAGCATGGCCTTCTTTAGACTAAGGCTGTTGCTCCTTTTAGCAGACTTGCACTGTGTAGCTAGGACAAACAACCCACAAGGAAAACAGTACTTCTAACCTTACTGGTATCCTGAAACTGTTGCTGTATATAAGGAAGCTTTTGTCTACTTTTAGTATGGTGTTTTATAACTGCACAGTCTAGGATTTGTCATTAAAATGACTTTTAGTTGGACCTGTTTAATATTTCTGTAAGCATACCGAGGCATGACAGGAAACAGGAGATAAAGTTGAGCTTCACACCAGCCATTTCTTTAGGAGAGAAGTTTTCTTAACCAATGATGCAAATTTGAATGATGCTGCTGTGGAATTCCAATTAAATGCAGCTGTTCTGTCCAATACAACGTCCACAGGAGAAAGTTTTAGGTGCTCAAGTTCAAAGTTCAGCTGGCACACCAAGCTTATTCAGATGCCCTAATTTCAGATTAGGTGACCTATTGCTCAGCAAAGGGACCTTATATGATCCATGGAATTGAACATGCCATTTATTTTATTAATTTTATTACACCAGTTAAGGCATCCGGCTAGAAATTAGGGGATTGTGAGCCCTGACCCTGCTTTAGGATTAAGGCCACCTGGGTAACCTTGGCCCAGTCATTTTCTCACAGTCCTAGGAAGGAAGCAATGGTGAAACCACTTCATCTTGGCAAGAAAACTGAAGGCATTAGTTGCCTGGAGGTTAATACTGAATCAAAGGCACAAATAAAAATCTACTTTGCTATCAGCTTTAGTTTTGGAAAAAATAACACAGATGAGTTCCTTCTTTAAACACTTGCAGTTGTGTGCATTTAAAGATGTAATATGCATAATATGTCTAAGGCAAGGGATGAGTCCAGTGCACTTCAGGGACATTAATACTTCAGGATAGGAAATAAGCATCAACTGCTTGTCTTTGTATTCTCTGAGGTCAGTTTCACTGCAGGAGTTAATTTAACATATTAAGTTCAGGAAAATACAACATAAATTCTCATTTAAAGTTAGCATGGATTCTAACATTCCAGATTCTATATTTTATTCTTGAATAGGAGTAATTTTTCATGATATATGAACAGAAGGCATCATTGCTAAGTAGCTACTGTCAGGAAAGTACTGAAACCATTTAGTGGGCTTTTGATATCTGAACACCATTGCAGACAATCATGATTCTGTGCAATAGATGTGCCATCTTAATTATTTGCTTGTTGCAGAAACTCCAGACATCAGGGTTCTCCTTATGATGGATTGAAAGCATTGCATTGCCTTGGCAACAAAAGTATCATTTATCATAAAGAAAATATTAACGCTTTAGATAGGAGTAGGAGTCTCCTGGTGTAACAACCGGTTTGCTAATCGCTGCATGTGCATGCACAACTATCGCAATTACTTGCCTTTAATGTTACTTCAGGGAAGTAACATAGCTGAGGTGCAGCAATCCACTTACCGTGCAAATCAGCTGAACAGTTATAGGTGAGTACAGCGCAGGGGTGGGCGGGCCCACATGATCATCGGATCAAACCGGTTTGGAGCCAGCTGATCATCACAGCTAGGGAGTCACCTGAACTGGTTCAAACCCGGAAAATCCCATCCCTGACTCTAGATCAGGGATGTCCAACTTTGGCAACATTGACTGCAGCTCCCAGAATTCCCCAGACAGTGACAATTGTCAAGGTTGGACACCGTTGCTTTAGATCAAAGGTCTTCAAACTTGGCAAGTTTTAGATTTGTGGACCAACTCCCAGAATTCCTGAGCTAACATGACTAGAGGAGGAATTCTGGGAGTTGAAGTCCACTTTTAAAGCTGTCAAGTTTGAAGATCCCTGCTCTAGATAATACTTATATCTATAGTCAATACTGATTGGCTAGCATTTGTGAAATCAGTGATCTTTCTGCTCTACCCTGTGCCTGGGTTATTTTACAGCATCTTAGCCAGAGTTTTTTTCTCTTCTGAACTATATATATATATATATGGGCTGCTCCACCCATCAGAAGTCCTTTGCTCATATGTGTATACAATTTCAATTCTAAGAATACATCTAAAGATTTGACTGGCTTATCATATATTTATTTTTAGGCATCTAAAACTCAAATACCTCTCATTGGATTACATCAGGAAGTAGTCTGAAAAAGTGGGTGGAAAGTTGGGATTAGCAGCAGAAATAAATCTCTAGCAGTCTTCAACTGTTGAACTGTTGTTTATAACCAACAGTTCAACCCTGTGTGAACCCTGGGTGGTTCTTTGATATCCTGAATGACCACAAATTTAAAGGCTGCAGGTGTTTAAGGACTTTGTCATATTCAAGTAAGAATATCTCTTAGGTTTGCAGGCTATCTAAGCTTACCCAAGGGTATCTAAGGCTGTGTATTAGTATATGAGAGTGGCATTTTATAGGCAACATGCATGCTTAAGGGGTTGCAGGACTATTTGAAAAAAAGACCTTGGATCCAACTAGTTGAAGAGGGGCAAGTAGTTCATTAATGAAACCTAAGACTGCTCCTGTATATATGCCTTCAGTGCCGGTAAACAGTGTTTTGTGATGTTTGCATCACATGTTATAAGCAAATATTGATGTGTTAGAGTGAGAATGAGTTTAAATGCTGGCAAACTTTGAAGCCCTAACAATTAGAAGAATCAATAGAAAAGGTACTAGAGGAGTAGCAATTGATTCATTTACTGCACTCAGTTCAAATAGGTCACTTTAGACCATGTGTGTCTCAACCAAAGTACTATGTCAGCCAAAACAGAGGAATTCAAATCAGATCCAAAGCTTTCTTTTAAATAACCATAGAACTCTTATTATGTTCCTAGCTTTAAAAAAAAACTTTATTGTACAAGTGTCTTTTTAGTCAGCTGCCATTTCAGATGAATCATTTTGAAATAAAAGTGTTGGCTGTATTTTAAATGTATATTTGTTTTTCATTTTCATCATTACATTGTTAAGCTAACAGTTTCCACTGAATGTCTGGTTTTGTTTAAGCCTACAAAATTGAACTTTTCAACTTTTTACAAGGAATAGTTATTAACCTATTCCAAAATCATTTAAGGGAGCCTCACATTTTTTAATGTGCATTCATATGGTATGATATGTTCTTGTCCTGTAGGGGACACCCTTGTAGCAATTTTAATAGAATGCATTAATAATGAACTTTTACTGACTATAAAAAGATTTAAGAATTCTTGAGATATATGAATTACATAGAAAAGAAAAATGCTAATTCAGAGTAGCCTGAGAAACCTTATACTAAAAATGCATACTTCAAGGCAGTGATTTTAACAGAGATATTTCCCAAGATGCCAACAAAAAAGTCTTCCATACTAGTTAGTTAAACAACTACTAGTTCCATTGATAATAACCAATTCATACCATAGAGGAACTGGGCAGAGGATTGTAACATGCAGTTCTGACATGTAAAACTTTCTTGGACTTAATGCTTCAAAAGCCAAATTGTCATAGGTGTAACTAATAAATAAACTCTCAAAGTTATTTATATGTGGTCTAAAGCAATCGCAGGATCCTTTGGTCCTCAGTGATCTGATTACCTAAAAAGATCCATTGCTACAGCTTACATTACACAAATGTATCAAGATGCTTTAGCATCTACCCCTTCAAACATTGGTATTCTCTGCTCTAGGATTCAATCTTGGAAGCTTTGAAAAACATATTGAACTGAGCATAGTTTTCACCTGGAATGAACTTCATGGTGCAGTATTTTCATGGCCAAGTTCAGAGCCAGCCCACCCATTAAGGAGAGTGCTATTCCCCACCTTATATTTCAAATCCTGCAAGATTCCAGAGTTGACTCACAATTGCTCCCTTTTGTTGACTCCATGAAAGCTACATAATCTGTGCTAGCCTGTCCTAATTTAACTAGTCAGCCCTCACCTCTGTGTCAAGAAAGCTTTGTTTGCCACTCCAGCACACAACAGATAAAAAACATGCTATCTTCTCATTTCAGGTAACAGGAACCTGCTTCAATTCATTAACATACACATTTTTTACTCAAAGGTTGAGGAATCCAGTTGGAGGAAACCACAGTATTGTGTTTCTAATGAGACACAGAGGGAATTGGTATGAAATGAGTATTCCTACAAGAAATAATTTTTTGTCAGCTTAAGTTCAAACCTACTTTCTCTCAGCTCCATCTTCTTTGTATTCACTCCTAATGTTATTACTGCTCATCAGCATATTCTTAAAAAACATATGTTGTCTTACCACAGAGTGGACCCACATATCAAATGACTGCAGCATGTTAAATATTTACTAAACATACCAACATGAATTGCTGATGCTTTTGATCTACAAACGGGTTAATCAAGCAAAAATGACTCTATGTACTTCTTTTATTCCCACATATGGGAAATAGAAGAGAAACATCTTCAGAATCAGCAGAAAAGAACACCAAAAGCTTAGCAGCTGCATTTCTGAACAATATAAAATCTTCATTGGCTTGCTTGTAAAAAAAGGTGCAGAATTTTACAAATAATGCTATTTCTATAATAAAAGAAAGCCTGCCAGATGGATACACTGCTTAGCTAACTTAGGCTGAAATCATAAAACCTTTTAGTGATGAGTAAACCTACACTGATGGGATTTACTTTTCAGCAGACACATATAGGATTGCAGGGCTACATAGCAAACCATTATCTAGGGAGCTCTAAAATAGATTGGCAACAGTCACAAAATAACTTGCCTTCCAGATATATAATTTCTGATGGATTACTTGCCAAATGATATTCATAATGCAGTATTTCTCTCCATCCCTTCCCATCACTGCTCTAATTCTATATCAATTCTATACTTATCATACGTGTTTCTCACTAAATGCACCAAGCACTTTGTGTGTCTAATCACATTTGGTCAATAAAGAATTGAATTTGTTCATTCATTCAGATCAGCCTTATTTTTAACTTGATCACTTTCTGAGTATTCTTCAGTGAAATTAGGGAATTTGGTACTGTAGCCTCTACATTTTACCAGGCAAAAGCTTTAACACAACTTTTATCTGGGGAAGCTAAGGGATCATATTCTAGCTTTAATCTCTTGGGATCTGTGCAATCAAGATTCTAAAAATATTTTTTTGAAGCTTGATACTTCAAATACATCTCAAATGCATCTCTTAGGCTCGGAGGAAGGCAGATCATAGTAAAGAATCTGGCTAGTAATATTCAATTATTGGCTTAAACTCATCTATCAGCCCATCGGCTGCATTCTATTTTCAGTGATACTAGCCCAGTATTTCTAGGTACCAAAAAGAAGGAATCAAAGAGGCATGGCTCCCTACATTTTCTCCCTGATTCTACTCCAACTATCAAAGCTGTTCTTTCAGCATTGTTAAGGAGAAATATTAGACTCCCTGTGGCTCTTCATTTCTGCTCCTGTATCATACAAGAAGTAGAATTAATAATGCATGTTCTTTTATACTGCAGTTTAATGCAACTGCATCAGGATCTTATTTTTCCCCCTATTAAGAAGCAATACCTGGAGAATTGGTCAGTTACCATGTTGAATGCCAGTCACTGATTAAATTTTTATATAACCTACAATGTTGGGAAACTTTGTAATCTAGTATCTCAAAGCTTTGGCAGGGAACTCACAGTAAGATTTCAGAAGGATTCTAGTACAGACTTATTTATTTATGTTGCTTCTCTTTTTTCTTTTTCTAAAATTTCATCTTTATTTGCTAGCCATAATAAATAAAAATTGATAGATTTTACTATAATTTTGGATGTGGGTGGAAGCCAGAAACTTAAGATGATTTTTAAAATGAGAACAGAAAAATTTATAGAGAATGTATCTATCAATGTTACCACCATTCCACTGTACTCTACCATCTTTGGCTTTGCAGACAGTATATTTTACATATCAATTTATAGAAAGCAGCAGTGAAATGGTGCGATATCCATATTTTTATGTTTGAGAGTTACTTCAAATCCGTTTTGGATTTCTATATAACAAAAAAGCTAGACTAGATAATCATCTCTAAGTTCTCATCATAACTTCTATAAATTCTGGCTTTTGGTCTTTAATTATAATTCTGGACAGTTAAAAGTTGTTTCGGTATCTTCAATTGCGGAAACATTTACAGAATTCAGGGACATCATATTTGAGCTGGGGAAAAAAGATGATCTCTAGAAAACAGCACTAAAAAATAGTCTTCTGTATTTATCTCTTTGCTGCCATCAGTGGTTGTCCAAATTTCACAACCAAGATATGGTATACCTAGTTTATATTATAAAACAAGTTTCAAGATAGTTAGACAGTTACAATTCAGAGCTGTATAAAGGCACTTTGGTTTACATATGGAGAACTAAAAGATATACCTATTACGAGTATCACTAACTATGCATTCTGCTTCCTTTTCCTCCACCAGAATACCATTAAAAGATGCAATGTAACATAGAATTGCAATTTCTTTGTTACCTTGGAGATAAAAGATGAAAAGCAAAAGTAAGAGAAGATTAAACACTGAATAGTTTGTTTCACTGAATTGAGGCATACATCAGTAAATTCACACATTTGGCACCTAATTTTCTTCTCATCTATGTTTCCATTCGTGCTACAGTAAAGTTGCACTGTTAATATTTGTTTCTTAGCTGCAATTTCAGCATGCCAGCACTGAACAGTCTCTTCCTTTATAACACAAGGCAAACTCT